TTTCTTCCTCCCTCCACTCTTTTTCTTTCTCTCCCTCCCTTCCTTCCTTCCTTCCTTCCTTCCTTCCTTCCTTCCTTCCTTTCTTCCTTCCTTTCTTCCTTCCTTCCTACCTTTCCCAGTCTTTTGGCTTTAACTCAGGATCTGGGCACTGCCCTGAGGTTTTTTTCTTTTCTCAAGCCTAGTTCTCTGCTACTTGAACCACAACTCCACTTCTAGCTTTAAAAAAAAATTGAGATTAGGTGATTACATAATCTTCACATATTTACAGTATTGTGGAATAGTGATACTGAAAGTCACATACTTTAACCTTCACAAGGCAAACTGTCATTATCATGGTCTATAAAGTTTGTGAATTCTACGAGCTTTGACAATACAGTTATTTCTTCCACATCAGATGATATTTGAACCACAACTCCACTTCTAGCTTTTATTGGTGGTTAATTGGAGATAAGAGTGTCACAAACTTTCCTGCCTGGGTTGGCCTTGAACTGGGCTTCAGATCTCAGCCTCCTGAGTAGCTAGGATGACAGGTGTGAGCCACTGGCACCTGGCTTTGCTGTGCTGCCATTTTGATGTGGCTGGGGGTTGGGTGCGGAAGGTTGGCTGGGTGGGGGAGAGCTCTTTGAGTGAGTGAGTGTCAGAGTAGGTCTTAGGCAGTTCAGGGAGTGCTTCTTGAATATCTGTTTGCTCTAGCTGGGCCTCAGGACCTCCAGAAAGAGCTGCTTCTTAGTGGAGCCACCCCAACCAATCACTTTCAAAAAGAGGACAGGCAATTAAGGCACTACGTGGACCATCTAAAAGTCCATCCAGAATTTAACGATTTCCAACCCATCTGTTACTGTGTGGCCTGCTAGATTCGGAACATCAATGGTGGAAGAAAAGTAAGTGACCAGCCTATTTGTCTAGGACATAGCCCTTCCGCTCATGACTGCTTTTCCAAACTGCACAGACTCGCATTGTGTAGATGTGGCCAATTAGAACACAGGCCAGCTGTCACGTGTTCATGTGTTCCCATCTGTGTGTTCCCAGTGAATTTAGCCCAGGAGATGAACTTCTCTGTGTCACAAACAAACTGGGATATAAAATAACAAACGAGAGAAGAAAAAGGCCAGCGTCAGTAAGCTCAGGGGCTGATCAGAGCCATTGGCGGGAAGGCCAATCAGGCAGAAATAAATAGCAACAGCAAAACTAGCTTTTAAAGGATTCATTAAGAGGGTTATCGATCTGCCCTGCTTCTCCAGCAGCTCATTTCTTCTGGGTGCTCTCGCTAACAAAAAGGACACCTGCAAAACAGGTGAAACTACATTAAGAACTCAGGCTAGGTTTCCCCTGAATCTCACAGGGTAACAGCTGTTGGCCTGAGAGCTCCTTGGGCAGTGTCTGCTCCTTGGGTACTCAGTTTCCCTTTTTGTTGTCTGCAAGAAAGGCCACGAGACTAAACCCATCACCAAAGCCAGCCTAGACGGAGACATTCCTGCATGGTGGGCCAGACCCACCATCCAAGCTCCCAGGCCATTGGGGTGTCTTGGAAAAGAGCATTGAAGTCATTCCTCTGCCTCCTTTCCTAAAGGGCCCACAGCCAGCGCACAGCCTCTCTGGGAGCTGTGTTTCTGTTGTTTTACTTTAGTTATTGCAGGGGCAAAAGTCCTAGGGTAGCTGTGCAGCAAGTTGTCAATCCTAAGAAAGTGTTTTCCTCTGTCCCTTTTAATGGGAAAAACTTTTAAAGGAATTAGGCCAATTGAGCTCCAGGAATCGAGTCCTGATAAACGTATAAAAGCTTTCGAGTAAAAATAAGCCTTGGAACCAACGTCAGTAACAGATTGGTTTTGAACTAGATGTCATTCTCTTCTTTAAGCCTGTCAGGGAGCTGTAAGCCTCTCTGCCTGTTTTTTGTCAGGGGGTCTGAGTTGTGGTCTGAACTTCGCTACTGGATAAATAAACAAAGAGGGTAAGGTTTAAGAGATCTCCGAAGTCCCCTTAGTAGAAGTAATAGAAGCATCACAAAAATAAAAACACAGAAAAGAATGTTTCTTTTTAAACGTTACCTCCCCCCCCCACACTTACATTGTAGGGCCTAGATACCCTGCAATGGATGAATGGATAAAAAAGGTGGCATATATACACATGATGGAGTATTATTTAGCCATACAGAAGAAAGGAATGATGTGTTTTGCAGGGAAGTGGATGGAATTGGCTGGAGAACTTCCTGCTAAGTAAATCAAGGTCAGAAGGACAGAGGTTCTTGTTTTCTGTCCTATGTGGATCCGAGACCTAAAAGTTACTTTTGAAACATGCGTGTAATATCATGAAATAGGTGAAGTGGTCCTAGCAAAAATAAATCAGAATAATAGATAATGCATATTTTTCCTTTGTGCCAACCCATCCCTGCTCAAGCCCTCTGTCTTTCTCCTGGTAATTTCTGTTATTAGCTCACAGTGGAACCACCCAGACTTAGTTTAAAATGATTGTGTAGGAGTTCTTCAGATATTCTGGATATTAACTCAGTAATCAATATATGATGCATAGCTTGTTTATAGTTCCTCCTATTCTACAGATTGTCTGTTCACTTTGTTGATTATGTCCCAAGATTTATTTTTGTCAGTACCTGGGCTTAAAATCAGGACCTTGTGCTTGCTTGGCTGGTTGGCATTCTACAATTTGGTCCATACCTCCAGCCTAACTTTTTGATAACTATTTTGGAAGTGGAACCTCACAAACTTTTTTTTTTTTTGGTTGCCTGGGCTGGCTTTGAACTATGATTCTTTAGATCTTAGCCTTGAAACTTCATGTTAATTTCAGGATGACATTTTGTACATCTGCAAAAGTTCTACTGAGATCTAGATAGAGACTGTATCAGGTAGCACATAGATTGCTTTGGGTATTCTTGACATTAACAACATTAAACATTCCATTTTTAAAAACAGCCCTTTTTGCTTTTTTACATTTTAAAATTGGGTCTCTCTTTTTTTTCCAGGCTGTCCTGGATGAAGATCCTCTTATTTACCACTCCCAGGTAGTTAGGATGAGAGGAGTATACCACCACATCATGTTTATTGGTTGAGAGAGGGGGTTGTGATTTTTCCTTGTGTTAGTCTTGAGCCATGATCCTCCTAATCCCCATTTTCTGAGTAGCCAAGACTACAGGCATGAGCTACTATGTCTGGCTTTGTAGTAATACTCTGTGTGTGTGTGTGTGTGTGTGTGTGTGTGTGTGTGTGTAGTACTGAGTTTAGAAGTCAGAGATTTGTACTCATGAGGCAGATGTCTATCACCTGACCCACATCTCAGGCTCTGTCCTATGACTCTTAAACAGCATAGACCGACTTGATGAAGAAAATCAACCCCACATTCTTCTCTCTCATTAGAAAAAGTTAACTCACTGACATAGGCTGTGATTAGTGACATGCTTGAACTTATTCTCTGTTACATGATGTGCCTATTTACTTGTTTGTATTTTTTATTTGTTCTTGTGATTGTTTGGAAGTGAACAGCTTATTTCTCATCTTCTCCCGTGACCTGTACACTAAGACACTATGCACATCGATGGTATTTTCTGGATCTTCCTCTCTATAAATTCAGCCACATGATCATTGTACTTAGTTTCTTTCTAGTTTTCTCATTGTAGCCTACTCACTGTTGGACCACTTCATCTTCATTCCTGCTGTGACCGCTTTTGTTTTTCTACAATGAATAATGAACCGATTACTAACCAAGGTTCATTGCTCCCATGAGTGGACATGTCTTTGGATTTATGGAGTCTATTGACTTTTTCCAGTATCTTAGGAATTTCAGAGCAGAGATTCTGACTTGCTTAGTATTTTATTAGGTTGACCCCTTTAATCAAATCAGGATGTCTTTGTTTGTTTGTTTGTTTGTTTTGGGTCCGGTCGTGGGGCCTGAACTCTGGACCTGGGCACTGTCCCTCAGTTCTTCAGCTCAAGGCTAGCACTCTACCACTTGAGCCACAGAGCCACTTCCGGCTTTTTTTCTTATGTGGTGCTGAGGAATCGAACCTAGGGCCTTAAGCATGCAAGGCAAGTGTTCTACCACTGAGCCAACTTCCCAGCCCCCAGGATGTCATTCTTAAGTCAGGAAAGAATGATCTTCCCTGATTCCTGTTATGTGTTTAGGTATCACGTGTGACGTTTTGTAAGGGGGATAAGGAGTCTGTGTGGAGCGTGTTTCCCCTAAACTCTGATAAGAGTGAGCCACCACAGCCCTGAGGGACACCTGAAGCTTCAGAAGTTGGAGGAGGCAAGGAAGGATCTTCCCTCAGAAGCTCCCACACAGGACAGTTTGGCCTTGCTTTAAATACTCCCATCATCCCTCAGAAGGGGGAGGAAATTATTTTCTATTGTTTCAAGCCACCTGATCTGTGTTGATGATCACTTGTTACAGCAGCCAGAAGATAACTTGTTCAAACTCTTGTGTGGGTTTGGATGCCCACTGATGACAGACAAAGAAATGGGATACATGTACACAGTGGAATACTCTTGGGCCATAAAGAAGAATGAAATTGCAGTCATTTGGAAGAAAATAGAATTACAGGTTAGGTTGTGAAGCCAAATAAACAAGATGTAGAAAGACACCCATCACATGTTTTCTGTCATATGTGGGAGCTAAAATAGTATTTAAAAAAGACAATCTGAAAGTAGAAGAACTTATTAGAGAAGGGTGTAAGGACTGAGGGGAGAGAAAGAGAAGACAGAACAAGAGAGGATATTTGGGAGCGTGGATTTAACCAAAACACGTATGTAAATGTTTCAGTGAAATCCATTGCTGTGCACCATTAGTATGCACTAATAATTAGGAAAAAATAAATAGATTGTTCTCAGCCATTGGATTTGATCTTTTTATCCACTATGCAGTTAAGAACTATTGACCCCACAATTACCAACATGACCAAGGTTCACTGTGTGCATACACGGACAAGTGAAAATAACATCCCTTTGTGTAGCTATATTGCTAATTAAAAAATGAAACATTGAGAAAAAGAGGAATACTAGAACCATCTGGGGAATTTTTAATGATTTCCAAATTTTAAGACATCCATTCAACATTGGCTACATTTTGGCGATCAACATGACAGAAGCAAGTTCTTTGGGGGTAGGGGACTAGAAATTAAACTATTAAGAGATATCTTCCTCTGTTTTAAAATTCCATTTTATGTATCTACTTCTTTGTCCTTAAGTCACAACACTTTATCGAACTATACAAACACAAATACTTTCAAATGTATAATTATACTTTTAATTAAACAAGATGGACGACTACCTATAGCATGCATGAGTCATTTATCTTGCAGGATACCTACAGACTTGCCATGAAATCCCCAGTAATGGTATAATAAGAGATGGGCTCTCTTTTTTCTTAGAATAATTGTACACTTTGTTTCTTGTTTTGCCTTGAGATGTGAGGATGGCCAATGGAAATCAGCCAAGAAGAGATGGGAGACAGCAGGGTTTTGGGAGAAGGAATAAAATCACATTCTCTTTGTTGGACTTTAAACTTAATTTCTCTATGGACAAGATACCCAGCGTTAAGTGTTCTAGTCAACCTTTCTTAACACTGACATGAGCTTTGCCCATTTGCCATCTTTCTCATTTCCTGGGAATGTCATGGCCAATCAGAATGAACATATCGGTAAAACTCAAGTTACAAGCTATGTTTATTGTGAAGAATCCCATGAAAATTTAATCAGCCCCTACCCTCAGCCATTTACACATCCTCAGATATCCACAGAATGAAAGAGGTTAAGTGGCTCCTTGGCCTTGACTGAGGATGCCAGGCAATGAGCTACTTCGGTCTTGAAAAGTGATTTCTGCTTGTTCCTCCATTCATCAAGCATTCTATCCATGAGCCGTTGGTACCCTAGTGAAGAGCCATCACTTAAAGCAGGCTTAAGTTTCAAATCCTTCACAGTGTGGGGAGCCATTTTGTTTTCAAGTAAACCCCTAGGGTTAGTAATGACCTAACTCCATGAAAGATGCCAGCAGATAAAAAACAAGGTGTTGTCATTAATGAAAGCAGAGTTGGTTTCTGCTACAGATAAAAAAAAAATCATGTGAGGAGCTAAAAGATCTCAGCCTCTATTGAGTGTTTCTTCGCTCTTCCAACTTGAAAAAGGAACCCAAGAAGTGCTACTTGAACCAGTTCCCGGAGGGAAGGAAATTCCTTCCAGTCTGCTGACAGAGGAGGTTCAGGAGATGAACCCCTCCATGCCTGGATTCATGAAGGAAAAGTTCCTGAACATGTTCTGGTCCATGCTGTTGATCAGCACTCCATCGGCAAATGACAGCCGGGGCTTCTCACTTAAGAATTCTTTGTCGAAATTGCTACAGTCGCAGGGTGATTTCTTGATTGAAGTTTAAGGGGGAGAAAAAGAGGAGGGGAAAAAATTCAGCCATTAAATCCCACGATCTCTAAGGTTAATAATCTGTATATAACATTTACTACAGGGGCTTTTGAACTACAGAGGTTAAGTTCTGTAAGCAAGAGCAATGTCCCATTACCCCAAGCCACATGACCTAAAGAAACACATTGTGCCCAGGAAGAGAGAGGGATGGAGGGTAAGGTAAGGGGCTGGGAGGGGTAAGAAGCTGCCTAGGTTGGGTCATGCCCACCGCCTGTAAGGGAAGAAATCAAATGCTCCCACAGGGGAGTTCTTACCACTTTAGGTCTGAATGGGGGGTCGATCTCCTTTCTCTCAAGTTCTTCCCAGTTGATCTCCCGAAACAGAGGGTGCTGGCGGATGTTCCCCTTCACTCCCAGCCTCTTCTCAGGCTCCCTCACAAAGAGCTGCAAAGGACAGAGAAGGGGCAGTTGACCTTTATAGGAATAAACCATTAGTGTCAGGTAGGAGTGTGTGTTTCTTAGCATCCCAGACTCCTGTGTTTCTAACCTTACCCTTCTTACTCTCCTGGATGAAGATGAGCGAGGATCAAACTTTGTCCTGACCCCTCTCTCCCTGATAGAGCCTTTCTGCACATTTCCCCAGTCTGTGCTTTGATTTCCTCCCTTCCTCTTTGTCCTGGGCACGCTCTACTTGAGTTCAATAGACCTGATAAAAGATTGGCTTCTCTTTGTCTTATTGACAGGATCTCTGGCAAAGGGACAGACCCCCACATCAACTTCTGTGCCTGGAAAGTGAGATATGTGCCCTCCTCCAGAACTGTTCCAAAGACGGCACGCAAGAGCAACAATACACACATGCATACATGCATGTGACTTGTACACACACACCCTCACACACATAGGCAGATGCTGGAAAGACAGGACAGACACTGGAAAGCTTTTCAAAGTTAAAAGAACCAGCCAAGGCTGCCAAAGATCAGAACAGTGTAAATATGAACTTGGAAAAGTAACAGGGCCTGAGCATTGGGTGCCTTCATTTCTCCTTTGTTCATGAGCCCAGTGTTTGTGTATAAATGGCAGCGAGTTATAGGTTTTAAGGGAAAGGATGGATACTTCAAATAGAAAGCCTGGTGAAGGGCCAGGATCTTGCAGGAAGCTCCAGAAAGGACTTCTCTTCCATCTTTTGTTTCTCCTGCTTAGCTTAGCCAGGTTTGGTGCTGCATACCTGTAGTCCCCCATATGGGAAGGAGATGCAGGAGGCTCTTGAGTTTGAGGCTACCTTGAGCTATAAAACATGTCTCAAGACAGCCTGGGCAAAGAGGCCCTGTCTCAATAGCTCAAAACAAATGAAAACCCCAGGCTTATGTGCTTTGAAACACTGATTTATTATGTCATCTTACTACCTGAAAACTGCAGAGTTGCCAATTACCAACTGATAAGACCTTGGCATTGCCCTAACCTCCCCTCTCCTCGTTACCCTAGGATGGCCAAAGAGCGCTGGAGTTCGGGGCTTTATAGAACCACATGAGACTGCCATCCGAGAGCTCTACTACCACCCGTTCACCTTTGGGTAAGTTTTCTGAGTGTCCCTTGTCTTTGTGCTAGTCATCTCTGTCTATTCCTCTAACGAGGCACCTGAGACAATTGTCTTGCAGAAGAGAAAAGTTTTATTTTGGCATATGGAGTCAGGGATGCCTGTTCTTATCTGCATATCATGCCTCTACTCTCATTTTTCAGTATATAAAAAAAGGCGCCAAGTTCACAGAGAGATAAACTTTTCTGTAGACTCAAAACCCAGCAGACAGATTCATTTAGAAGCAGAGGAAATCAGGGACTTACCCACCTATCTCTTCCCTAGAAATAATCACACTAAGCTCTTGACCATCACTTATAGTATTTTCCCCCCTATTGGGGTTTGAACTCATGCTTGCTAAGCAGGTGCTCTTGCCACTGAGCCACACTTCCAACTCTGTGTTCTCTTAGGTATTTTTTAGAGAGGGTCTCACTTCCTGCCTGTGTTAGGCTTCCCGCTGTAGCTAAGACAACAGGTCGACACTACCGTGTCTAGCTCTTTGTTGAGGAGTCTTGAACACATTTTTGCCCAAGCTGGTCTTGACCATCAGTTCTCCAAATCTCAGCCTCACAAGTAGCTAGGATTACAAGTGTGAGAAGCAGCACCCCGCTACTGAGGGATATTTTGAAGAAAGAAAATTAGACAGAGAAAGTTTATGTGTCTTAAAGATGGGGGACCCGAAACGAGGTGATTGTAATGCTTCAGTGAATTGTTAGAAGACGTCCTTTGGTCCTGTGTGCACCATATGTTTCCCATCTGTTTTTTTTTCCTAGCAAAAATATGGGACATTGGGACCAAGATAATCATAACAAAGAACCTTCTGGGCTAGTTTATATACCCATGGAGTATATGTGTATGTGTGCATATATCTATATCTATATCTAACTATAAGTAAAATAGATAAAGAGAAGCCGTTGGGGTTGCAGCTAGATCAGGGGGCTCCATCCTGTGCCAGCCCTGAGCACGAGGTGCCTCTGCCTCCAATGGTGCAGGAGACGCCATGTTTAATTTTCTCTGTTCCCAGTGGATTTTCTAGCCCAGACTTTAAAGAGCAACCCTCATGCTAAGGACTGAGTTGCCTCCTCTCAACATCCACATGTTGATGCTCTAACCACTACTATGGCTGTGGATAGGGGACGTAGGGAAGAGTTCAGGTTGAGTGAGGCTCAATAGAATTAGTTCCCTTATCAGAAGGAGGCAATGGTATTCTCTCTCTCTCTCTCTCTCATACTATGTAAGGACATGACCAGAAGGTGGCTACATAAGATCTAGGAAGAGAACCATGATCAAGACTGACAGCCTTCGAACCTTGGACTTCCAGACTCCAGAACTGTGAGAAAGAAGTCTACTGTTTCCGTTGCTCAAGGTAAAGGATGCAGTTGTATTTCTAGATGACAGGTGAGGGAAGATGAGGGAGAGCTGATCTGTATGTCTGCTGATCACTGCCAAAGACAATCTGCAAGGCAGGCAATGAATGGGTGAAAGAGTTTGTTTTGGCAGTGCCAGTTGATGCATACAGTTCACACTGAGTCCTTCATAGAACCAAAGGTAGAGTACATGGAGTACTGGAACTTGTGTATCTATGATGGGAAATCAAGCCCTTCAAAAGAATCAAGTCCTTGATAGAGCCAAGGGTAAGGTCCCGGTAGCCATTGCAATATTGAAAATCCCACTGGCATATTTATTTTTATTGATGCCATCTTTCTTATTGGCTAATTTTAAAATTAGATTTCACTTTACCTGTGTTTCATGCAGTCATTAAAAGTGAATTTAATTGGTTATTTGGGGGCATTCTAGGTTTTATTGTATATATTTGGCTCATAGTCAGAAGGCAAATACTGAATGAAACAGGTTCCGATTTTTAAATCGGGAGTTCCATTAACCTTGCGCTGAGGAGTCTGAGAGCCTCATGGACACCTCTCACAGCAAGCTCGTGATTCCTGGGAGAGCTCTTGGAGTTCTCCTCAGACCTCTAATGCCGCAGACAAGTTGTCACTTGTCTAAGGGAGGTGGAAATGTAATGCCCTTTAAATTGAATTCCCCTTACTAGTGAACAAAAAATGAACTCGGAAATAGTTTTCAAAGCTTCGATTTGAAACTCACGAATTGCTTTTGATACTGAAGAATCTATTTCCATTTTTTCATGGAGTGAAAAAAAAAAGCCAAAAATGACTCCATTCAATGGTAAGTCTTTTTTTTTTTTTTTGGTCGATGACATATGAGATTTTAGAAATCAAAATGTATCCTGAGCTGTCATGGGTGTCTGTCTGACTTCTGCCTCGCAGATGAACTCTGGGTACTGCTACGAACATGGTACAAAAGCCTGATCTCTCATAATTTGTATCTGAGAATTTGTGTTCCTCTTTTGAATGCACCATGTGGACGGCATGCGGAGAGAAAGGCAGTTGGTCTGTGTGTATTTTAAGTACTGTTTGAGACAATCTGCTGTGTAAGAAAAAAGCAGTAGGAAAGAGGGCTGCTCAATTGCTGTTTGGTATGCTACTGAAGGCAGGCAATAGTCTGAATAGCCTGTCTCTCAAGAGCTTCATCCCCAAATGTCCCCAAGACTAAATATTTCAAAAGAAACCTACTGAAGTTTCCATCCATCCAAAAGAGGATGAGAGACAGTCATCCAGAGCATGCCTGTAATCGCATTGGACAGACACGATCTCTGACCAGAAAACAGATAGAAAAAGTCTTAATTTTGACATGGAGAGTCATGTGGTAACTGATGCTTATGGGTGGGGTCATTTTCAACTGAGTCAGGGTTTTATGACTTAGACAAAAGTTGTTGTTCTTTTTTAAAGCTGAGACTGAAACAGAAGATTCATGTACCCTGCCTAGAGTTCCAGAGGCAGGAAAGAGAAATTAGACTAACCCCAGCTGTTCAATAGGAATTGCTTGGAACAGTCTAAAGTCGTGGAAATTGTTTTGGTGCATTTCTTTTGTAAATGATGCCCCAGAATGTTTATCTTAAATTTATGTTTCTACTTAGTGTACACAGTGTCCGAGCCTGAGTTGCAACAGGCAGTGGGTATGTAAGTCCATTTAAGTTAAACCAGTCCAATACCAGCAGTTCCATTCTCTGATATTTCAGTTAGAATGTAGCCATGCATGGGAACACTGACTGAGCAGAGAACCGAATACAAATCTCAATGAAAACTTTTTGCCCTCATTTCTTACCTTTACCAAAAGGTCTTTGGCCTCCTTCTCGAGCCACCGTGGGTAAAAAGGATTGTCCATGCGGATGGAGTGGAAGAGCTCTTCTTCATCTTGCCCATGGAAAGGTGACTGGCCAATGAGCATCTCATAAAGGAGCACGCCAAAGGACCACCAGTCCACAGAATGGTTGTATTTCTGACCCAGCAAGATCTGTGTGACCAGAAGACCAGGAACATAATTAACAGATGAGGTTGATTACTGATGACACTTTTTTTTTTTTGGGTCCGGTCATGGGGCCTGAATTCGGCCTGGGCACTGTCCCTCAGCTCTTCAGCTCAAGGCAAGCGCTCTACCACTGAGCCACCTTTTCAGCCCGACACATTTTTTTTGTCTGTCTTGGAGCTAGAACTCAGGGCCTGGGCTGTCCCTGAACTCTTTGCTCAATGCCAATGCTCTACCACTTTGATCTACTTCTCTGATGACATATCTTAAAGCCACTTGGTCTATGATTTCCAGTCTCATCCACTTTTTTTTCTGTAAAGGGCATAATTTCATTCTTCTTTCTGGCTGATTAAAACTCCTTTGCATATATGTATCTGATTTTTCTCTGTTTAGACATTTGTTGGTGAGCCCTTAGGCTTTGACTAAAACTTAGCTATTGTGAATAGTGCAATAAACATGAGCGTGCAGGTATCTCTATTGCTTGATGACTTAAGAGTCCTTCATGTAAATACCCACCAGTGCTAGAGCAGGATCATATATATTAGTTCTACTTTTGGTCTTTGAGAAACCACTGTATTTACATAGTGGTTGCACCAATTTTCATCCCATTAATATTGCAAAAGTTTCTTCCTATTGCATCCTCATTCCTACCAGCACAATGTCAACATTTTTGACTTTGGATAAGCATTTTACTTTTCCTCTGTCTTCAAGGAAATGGCTGAACCTTGACTCTATCTTCCATTTTCCCATCTGAACTGTGGGGGCCTTGGGTGGTAGATATTAGAACCAAGAAGGCTGGTGTGTGTCTTGATTCTGCATTGCTTCTGACGTGAATGTATCACCAAGCCCATGTATTTTGGGGGGGATTCTACTGCTGCTGAGTCTTTGTGTAATATTTGAAAGAATCAAGCATCTTAAGGCATTACCCAACAATGTCTGTCCTTAAAGGATAAAGAAATGTGGTACATAAATACAGTAGAATACTGATGGGTCATACCAAAGGAAGGAGGGAAACGCTGCCATTTGGGGCAACATGGATGAGCATGGATGGAATTAGGCTAATTAAAACAAATCAGCCCCTAATATAATTCCACTTTCACGAGGTACCTCAAGGGTGGGTCAATGAATGCAATGTCCCTAATATAAACCCAACGAAACACAGGAACATAAAGGTGACTTCCAGATGGAAATTGCTACTAATGCTGTGATAAATGTCTACTTGGAGAAACACATTCCCATTTGTGAAAAGTCAATGTCAAGTAGTACACAGAATTTTGCAATCTGCCACTAATTTCTAGCATAAATATGCTACCTGCTAGTTTTTATTCAGTATTTGCATACGAAAGTTCACCCTAAAATGGATAGAAAGAAAAAATTTGTCTGAAGGAATAAAGGTAGATCTTGAAATAATTACAAGGGAAGAACAAAGGCCTACAATTAATTAGTCTGTGAAACTTTCTTCAGCTTCCTTTGCCCAATGAAACGGGGTCCACATGCAACTCCACAGATTTACCACAAGGGGGTGCCAAAGGCAAGTGGAAACAGCTCTGCGTAATGACAGTTTTTTTTGTAAACAACTTCATTTTGGCAGAGCAAAAATGAAAAGGAATTTGGAGGACAGGAGACAGCTGTGGTGCAAATTAAACCTTCTAGGCTAGGTGATGTTGAAAAAAAAAGACGCAATCTTTCATTAGGAGGAAGAAGGAAAATGGAATCCAGAATCAAATGCAAACAGAATATTCATGGAAGGAACTCTAATAAGACATGACAGGCGTTTCCGTATAACGTGTCTACATGTATAAGAGCTCCCTGGGGAGAATGACGCTCATAGAAGCTATGATTCTCGTTTATTTAAGGTCTCCTAGTTAGCTGGGTGCTGGTGGCTTATGTCTGTATTCCTAGCTACTCAGGATCGAAGTTCAAAACCAGCAGGTGCATGAGACCCTTGTCTTCAGTTAACCAGCAAAAAGCCAGAAGTGGAGATGTAGCTCAAGTGGTAGAACACCAGCCTTGAGCAAACAAAAAGGCTAAGCAAGAGTGCAAGGCTTTGAGTTCAAGTCCCATTACTGCCAGCCCTGTCAGCTCTTCTTCTTTTATGCTCCTTTCTTCCCCCTATCTTTACCCTAAGGATTGAGAAGCACAGCCCTCTAAAGCACAACTCGAAACTCGAGAAACCAGTAAATGACTAATAATGGTTGGATACCAGTGGCTCATGCCTGTAGTCCCAGTCACACAAGAGGTTGTGGTCTGAGGATCGCAATGCAAAGCCAGCCAGGACAGGAAAGTCTCTGACACTCTTAATCTCTAATGAACCCTAAAAAGCAGAAGTGACACTGTGTCTCAAGTGGTAGAGTGCTCGCTTTGAGTACAAAAGCTCAGGGACAGTGTCCAGGCCCTGAGTTCAAGCCCCAGGACTAGCATCAGAAACAAAATCAAATGATTAATAATGGTTCCTCAGCTTATGTCACAGTCCCTTCCTATCTTTGGCACCATGGGGCTGCTCCATTAAGCTCTACACAGACCTACGTGGAGTGCTAAGTGATCCTGTGGAGCCAAATGGCCTTGATTTCCATGAGAACCTGCTTTCTGCAGAGAGAGGCCTCTATTACTGAGATCCACGTGGCTTGCCTAGGTAGCCAATGAGAATCAGGAAGTACACCATGCCCCTCCTACCTGCCTTTACTGTGGGATGAAACATAGATTTTCCTCATTCCCTCAGCTGGGTACTGGGGAGCAACAGGAGATTGAGAGAAGAATAAAGGAGCCTTTTGTTGAGAAAGCCAGTGGTGGATCTGAGCCATAGGAGTGTATTTTTAGGATTATTACAAAGGGGATCTGGTGTGCAGTGAAGTGTGTCTGCTGAGCTCTCCTTCGTGTGTGCCCTGTTTAGCTTTGACTTCACTGCATTGATATTTGTGTTGGTGCTCACCTTAAGGAAGTGCAGATTACTAATATCAGAAAGTTATTAAATCAAATGAGCAGTGCTCTGTGGCTGCCATGATTCCTGGACAGCTGGAAGCCATCCTTCTTTGCCTATCAGAGGTCAACCTTGCCTTTAGACATGGACAAATGAGAATGAAATAGACAAAACAGAGCAAAGCCACATCGTCCTTAGACTCCAGCCTCTGCAGTTAATTGGGCAATGACAGGGATTTGGTGTAGAAATTGTTTTATGAAAGATCAACTCTTATCAGTTGATCCTTCTCTGTTTACCAGTTTATTTGATCATTCGTTCATTCTTCCTAAGGCTAGTTAGTGACATTTTAATGTGTCAGTCTCTGGAATCTATCTGTGGAGGAATTGCCAGAGAAGCCCGCACTCCTGTAACCAATGCTCGCCTCCTGCTTTTCATATTGGACCTGAGCTATGGAAGATGCAGTCACTGCGGGAAACTGGAGACATTTCTACATTATGCTTGCATCGGCCTGCGAATCTCTAGTTATTTCAAGTTAAAAAGTTAAAAGAAAAAAATGGAATAAGAAACAGACTTTGGAACCAACATGCAGTCATGTAGGAAGATTCAAACACACACACACACACACACACACACACACACACACACAGAACAACTAGAACAAATACTATGCTATGGCAAGGACCAGATAGTTTACCAGTCTCTCTCTGGGGTGGGTACCTGGAGAAGAATCCATAAAAGGAAAGAGGAGGGTTTTGTGACATTGGGTGGATTTCTTCTGAGCAAAATGCTGTTATAGAAGAAGAAATCCGGGGAGGGAGACTTTGGCAAAGGCCTCTCTTCTCCCTGCGATCAGTTCCTCTAGCCTTACACTGACACCTTCGGAGGGTAGCGGGATGCTATTTTCCCTGGGCATCTCACCAGCCATTCCCTCTGGCCAGTCTGAGCAGGGTGTGGTGTTTGAAGGCTGCTGGGGGTGGTGGTGTCTGAGCCGTGACTGAAAAAGCCATGGGATGTTTTGGTTCTGGCAAGGCATTAGGAATACGTTGCCTGACATCCCTCTAAGGCCTCAGTAGCTACTCATGGGCATCTAGGGAGTGTTTGCTCCCAAACACCAAGCACCAATTTCAAATCCCGAGATAGAAAGCCTTGGGATGAGCAGGGCCAGGCCAGGCGCGGCCTCCTCACCTCGGGGGCGATGTAGTCAGGAGTTCCACAGAACGTGTTTGTCTTTGCCCCTCCTAGCATGTTCTCCTTGCACATCCCAAAATCTGCGATCTTGATGTGGCCATCTCGGTCCAGGAGGATGTTATCTAGCTTGAGGTCCCTGGAAAACGAGAGCGAAGCAAGAAAATCTCACTGGAAGACATATGACTCGGTTAAAAGGAGATTGTTGTGGGGTGGCAGCTCATGTCTTCCGGGCTGAAGAGGGGCTCCCTGTGAGGAGCGTGGCCGGTCCTCTCCCCACCCCCATGCTAGCCTCCAGAACCACCCAATTTCTCTTTCTGGATGTTAGGACTGCTATGTGGGCGCTAGTCTGTCTCGGCTGGAGACTGGAAAGATACCCAGGCTGCTGTGGTACTTGCCCTAGATGAAAGAGAAGACTAGCATATAAATGCAGAGGAAAATAGTGAGTAGGCCAAAAACAGAGAGAGAGAGAGAGAGAGAGAGAGAGAGAGACAGAGAGACAGAGAGACAGAGACAGACAGAGACAGAGACAGAGAGAGACAGAGACAGAAAGAGACAGAGAGAGACAGAGAGACAGAGAGACAGACAGAGACAGAGAGAGACAAAGACAGAGAGAGACAGAGACAGAGAGATAGAGATAGAGGTAAAGATACACACAGAGAAACATGCAAAAACAATGAGCACCAGAGATGTCAAGCAAGCTTTGCTGGTCTCTGATGGCTCCGGTTTCTTAAGGAAACCTCATTTATGCTTATGGAAACATGGAACTGATTTTCTGGAACTTGCCGCCAGCATGCATATTCTTCTAACTTTCCCATCACCGTGCCTCCTGTCCATGTCCTGTGCTTGTGAAGAGTCACATGGTGAATGTCAAGCGTGTTTTTTGAGAAGAGAAGATGACCAGAATACCACGGCTCTCCTCCCAAGGCTGTGGCAGCCAGGGGTGAGATAAATTATCATACAACAGAGAAATTGTGAGTTCAAGCACGGGGACCCCAGGAAGGTTTTATGCACTTTTCTATAGAGTATAGACCTGCAGGTTTCCACAGGAGTGTGAATGTTCCTGAAAGAGTTTCCTTCTCCCAGCCAAGAGGAAAACATTTCCCAAGCATCTCTAGAGGCCCCACACATGGTAGAGGGGACACGTGGTACGGAGGGGACACGTGAGGGAAAACAAGACTCAGGCAGCTGGAAGGGGGGTGAGGGAGGAAGTAGGAGAAGGGCAGAGAAAGGGAGAATAAGAACGAGGACCCAATTAAGGGGCAGAAGAAGACTAGAATCTCCATGCATTTTCCTCCTTGCTTGTAGGCAAATCATCATTCTGTATAGTCACGAGGAGCAGCAGGTGTGGGTGAGCAATGTTCTCCCATAGAAACACACTCAACAGGCTGGCAAGCGCAAAGATATATCCAAGAGCTTAGTATTTTCTTTTCTTTTTTTTTTTTTTTTACCCAGTCCTGGGGCTTGAACTCAAGGCCTGTCCCTGCGTTTCTTTTGTTTAAGGCTAGTGCCCTACTACTGGAGTCACAGCGCCACTTCTGGCTTTTACTGTGTCGGTGGTACTGAGGAATCGAAGCCAAGGCTTCATGCATGCTAGGCAAACACTCGACCACTAAGTCACATTCCCAACCCAATATTTGTTTTCAAAGAGCGTAATTTACCTATAGACAATTCCTTTGGCATGAAGGAATTGCAGGCCCAGGATGATTTCAGCAGCATAAAACCTGAGGTGTGGAGGGGGGGAGAGGGAGAAGAGAGAGAGAAAGCCAAAATTCAGCATGAATGTATGAACAGAACAAAATGCAATCCACTTGGTCTGATCTGTGAGGTGTGCACAGTGCCAGAATAAATGGTATTTGCCCATAAATGTTGTCAACTTTTTTTTTTAAACAGGGAAAATGTCACTCTGTGTACTCTCATCATAAGAGATCTCTAGCCTCAGGTTTCAGAGTATGAAACAGAGCTACCCTCTCCTCCATCAGAGATTGTTCTTGCATTTTATACTCCGCTTGTCCTGACATTATTTTGCTAATTAAAACTACATAAATATTGACTATGACAGCATAGCACTGCAGGAAAAGAACTTGTCCCTTTATTTCAGACTCTGCTTGGAGTTCTCAGACCTGTCACGTAGGCTCATGGCAAACAGACTTGGTTGGTTTATTTTCATATTGACAATGTTTAACCGTGGCCAGGACATACACGCCAAGAGGTGGAAGAAAGGAAATGAGGAGATGGGAGGTGATTAGTCACTCCTCATCTTCCATGGTGACAGGCTTAACGGAAATGAGTTTACATCAGACACAAGGCAGAGCTTTCTGGAAGGGAAATTTGCTGGGCGAATTCTCATGAGAGAATGCATTAGGAGTCCCTTTTGGAAAATGCTCAGGACATAATAGATAGAGAGCAGGTGTCCAAGGTGGATTCCTGTTACAGTGCTGGACAGAGGATTGGGCTGACTGGATGGATGGCTTCTAACACAAAAGTACTCGGTATGTGCTTTGCGGAGGTTTTCTGAAGACTGCTGGATCACTAGACATGACAAAGCGTCAATTTCAGTGAGAGTGTTGTAGGAACTGCTGGACTAAGTCCATGTTCAACCTATTTCATGTTCAACTCCAACCACTCAATATGGACATGCAGAATGGACAGAATAGTGAGCAGCAAGTAAATAGTAATAATAATTAATAATGATGATAATGGTAATAATAATAAAGAATAATAGCAACTTAGCACATGACTAACATTTTATGATTGCTACCAGAACTGGGGTTTGAAATTAGGGCACTGTCCCTGAGCATTTTTGCTCAAGACTAGTGCTCTACCGCTTGAGCCACAGCTCTACGTTCACCTTTTTGGTGAACTGGAGATAACAGTATCATGGACTTTCCTGCTCAGGCTAGCTTTGAACTGTAATCCTCAGATCTCAGCCTCTTGAGTAACTAGAATTCTAAGCAGGAGTCCCTGGTGCTTGGCTTCAAAACTACCATGCCTGTAATCCTAGCTACTCGGAGGCTGAGATCTGAGGATTGCAGTTCAAAGCCAGCCTGGGCAGGAAAGTCCATGAGACTCTTATTTCCAATGAACCACCAAAAAACCAGAAGTGGTGCTGTGATTCAGAGTGGTAGAGCACTAACCTTGAGCTGAAGAACTCAGAGACAGCACTCAGGCCCAGAGTTCAAGCCCCACAACCACCACCACCACCACCACCACCACTACCACCAAAAAGCCATACAGTTAGATCTCTATTATTATCTTTAGGTATTTGTGCCAAGAAGTTGCCATGACTTCACTTTTAAATGAGCTCTGTGGTGCAGCTCCCTACCACGTGATGGTCAGGGTGGGTATACTAGGTGGGAATTAGGAGTCAAGGGAAATGGTGCCCGCAGGTGCTGTGGGACCTAACTGCAGTCTGAGCAGGTCAGCACAGGCCGCTCTATTTCCCTTGCAGCTGCACCTTCCTGATGCCTTAAAAAAGGAAGAATTATTTTCAAAGAGACTTAGTGTCTTTTCACATTTCTTGCTTTTCATGCACCAGAAGCCCAGATAGATGCTTTCTACCTTGGCATTGAACTTCCCACAAAAGGCCTCAGCCAAATGTTTCATCCCTCAGCCACCTTGAAGATTCTGTTCTTGTCAGAGGGCAAGTATTTGCTCCCGTGCTCAATTATTTCAACTAGGGCGGGAAGCCAAGTACAAGTTTTTTTTTTTAATTGTGAAAATAATGTACAGAGGGGTTACAATTACATAGGCAAGGTAATGAGTACATTTCTTATCAAGCATTGTAGCCTCCTCCTTTGTTTCCCCTTCCCTTCCCTTCCCATCTCCTACGTACAAGTTTTTTAAACCATGGAAAAAGGTATCAAAATAGAATCAAAGTTCACTCTTACAAACTGGGAAGCCACTGACTGGCTTGACTGATATTCTTGCCAAGGGTGTACCTGGCCGTGATTTGTAGGCACACCAAATGAAGAAGCAAGAAGAAACTATCTCTGGGTGCCGGTGGCTCATGCCTGTAATCCTAGCTACTCAGGAGGCTGAGATCTGAGGACTGCGTTCAAAGCCAGCCTGGGCAGGAAAGTCTGTGAAACTCTTATCTCCAATAAACCACCAGAAAACCAGAAGTGGTGCTGTAGCTCAAGTGGTAGAGTACTGGCTTTGAGCTGAAGAGCTGAGGGACAATGCTCAAGCCCAGAGTTCAAGTCCCACGACTGACAAAAAAAGAAAAAGAAAATATTCTGTGGGTACCAGATGTGCATGGATGGACAAAACCAGAGACCCCTCCCTCCCGCATCCCTGTGCTCTGTGGAGGCTCTTACGTGGCTCTGGAGAGATCGAATTTGTGGCAACTTTGAATATGGTACATCAAGTCCCCACCGTTGAGATATTCCATCACAAAGAAGAGGTTTTCCTGAGAAAGAAACAAAAACAATCCCAAATTGTAGCTTCTTTCATTAAAAAATATACTTTTATTTTTATCATTAAGGTGCTGTACAGAGGGGTAATCATTTCATAAGTCGGGGAAGGAGTACATTTCTTTTTGGACAATGTCATCACTTCCTTTGCTTTCCTTCAGTTTCCCACTCTCATCCCTACCCACAAGTTAGGGGTAGTTCATTGTTTATATAGTATATTCTGAATACCATGATTGCATTTGCTTGTCCTTCCTACCTCCATTTTTGGACCCCTTTGTCCCCCAAAAGACAGCAAAAGGAATAAAGAGAAACAAAACAAAACAATTCTCCTTCCCGCCAAATGCCCCCAAACAAACAACACCAGCCCTACCATCACATCACCACCAACTAAAACCCACATTTCCATTTCCCGGAATTTGTTTCAATAAATAGTAGTTTAAATGGTCGGAAGCCTCATGCCTTTGAGTTCCTCCCTTAAGAGTATAAAGTGTAGTTTCTTTAAAAAAGCAGTTAAAAAAAAAGAAAACCAGGATGAGCTTTTAAACAGGTTAGAGAATTAAAAGAAAACCAGGATGAGCTTTTAAACAGGTTAGAGAATTTCAGCTGAACCACGTTCCATCTTGAAATTGCCTAGGGAAAGGCTGTCAAAATCATTTAGCTGAGTTCCACCACTGGAAATCCTAGTGAGCGGCTCAGTAACCTCTCTTTGAGAGCTATGCCATGATCCCCTGCATGGAGGCTGGTCTCATCTGCACTCTCGGGACAGTGGGATTCTGTGGAGCATGGAATCCACGTTGATACACTTATTGAGCGTGGTCAGGTGTGAGATGGAGCAAAAGATACGTAGGGTCAGCACCCTGGGTCTCTGATGAAACACTCAGTAAATCCCACTGACCATGCTCTGTGCATGTTCAGATTGTCTCACCCATCAAAGATAAAGGAGACCTGGGCCCTATCTGTGGGAACCCGTAATTAAATTTTGCTTTGTTATCCTGCTCGTCCTTAGGTCAGAGGGCAGGCAACTGTCTGAGAGCGTGTGTTTCCTAGAAGACTAGTTCCCCACTAGCACCCCCAAGGGGCAGCACTAGATGGAGGCTGGGTGGTCTTCAGGTTGTGAGACAATATTACTTTAACCCAAATGGTCAGTAGCTCCGTGAGCACCCTGAATTTTCCAGGGATCTTAAGAATCACAGAATTAGTAGCCATGGAGTTGGGGATGTTGGGCGAGTCCGTGCATGCATTTGCACCTAAAATAATCTCACCTGGATGACTTTTTAACAGCCTTAACCTTTACAACTCCACGTGAGCCTCATCAGGGCCTAGGAGGAAATGGTACCAATGGAGGCGTGGGCCCTCAGTGACATTCACTACCTGCCAGCTTCCCCACAGGTGCGAAGTAATGACTTGAGTTGTTTTTTAGGGCCAGGTCTCTTATGGCACTCTAAGCTAAGTGGAGCCTGTGGTGTCCGTGTCCTCGCTTTTCAGTTCCCTCGTTCCAGGTCTCTGCCAGGACACTGGCATGTGGGGAGGTTCAACAGCAGAAGTAGGGTTCACTTCAGGGTGGACTACCCTAGGCTATCAGCCTTATGCTCACATATTAAAGGCATACAGATCACCCTGTCCCCCTAAACAAGGTTTGAGTTGATGAGAGACTCTGAGAGCTGTGCTTCTGGCATTCACACGTCTGTGGCTGTGAGAATGATTCAAGCAAGACCACAGAGCTGGCCAAGCACATGATTGCTGGGAACAGAGTGGGGGGGGGGAGGTGTGTGTGTGTGTGTGTGTGTGTGTGTGTGTGTGTCCCACAGGCCAACCTATAACACTGTGTTAGTATGCTCATACCAGCGTGGAGTTTCTTACGTATGGTGGCAATTTGGACTGGTGGAGTGATTTTGATTCTGAAGTAGTTTCATTTCCTCCTGATATATTTAGCGGTCAACAAAAACATCCTAGAAAAATTTTTGTTTTGTTTTTTAAAAAACTAAGGATTCACTGTCAAAAAGTCCCAAATAATTGCTTGGGTACATTCTATAATTGTGTTGTGCTGTGTGTGTGTATGTGTATGTGTGTGTGTATATACACGTGCATATAAGAGAGAGAGACAAGGAGGGAGAAAAATGGCATTCTGAAAATCAGCCAACTCATTTATTAAGGCCTGTTTGTATTTCTCCTGTGAACTCTAATTAGTCAAGCTGCTCTCTTACATAGACTCATTAGGGAGTGTTAGAAATAGCCCTCCTGAATTTCTATAGGTCTGTGCCTGGCCGGAGGGATTAGAGCCGAGTTGGCAGTGACTCCCTTAATTGTCCCATTGGGTCTTCCTGAATTAACCAACACAGTTATTTTCCTTTACAACAAAAAGTGCAAATAGACCCCTAGTCAGGAATTTTAAAGTGTTTTCCTTGATGTGGTTAGATCTCTGAGGAGAGACAGCCAAGTAACATCCTGGGCTCCTCTACTTAATTACAGACACTTGTGGCCTGGGGAGGTGGTGGGGGGTGGTGGGTGGGAGGGTAGTGGGGGGGGTGGGGGGTTGCTTAGTCCCTTGGGACTGCTTGCATGCCCTTATCTGTGAAATGGGGGTAATAATAATGGCCACTACATGGAGTTACTAGGAAGATTAAGTGAGCTCATGCTTTGGCTCATAGTAAGTGATTTATAGATCTGAGATGTCACCTTATGTGTTACTCTAGTTATTGAATACAATATATATGCTGAGAAATGCATATTTCACCAGCTCAGAAGAGTCCTAGGACTAGACAGAATTTTCAGTACTATAAGTTTGATGACAAAATGCGCATTTTCTACTGAATTTTTTTTTTTGGGTCCAGTCGTGGGGCCTGAACTCTGGGCCTGGGCGCTGTCCCTCAGCTCTTTAGCTCAAGGCTAGCGCTCTACCACTTGAGCCACAGCGCCACTTCTGGCATTTTTCTTTTTGCTTATGTGGTGCTGAGGAATCGAACCCAGGGCCTCAGGCATGCAAGGCAAGCGCTCTACCACTGAGCCAAATTCCCAGCCCTCTACTGAATATTTTAAAAGTATTAAGTTCTCACTACTTATGAAAGGCAAAGGAAAAAAGACATTCAAAATTCTATCTGGAGTGCTTTTGAATCCAAGAGCTATATATTTTTCAATTGTCAGTATATTTTGATGTTATTTTATAAGTAAAGGAAATCTTCAATGAATTTTACTTCTTAAAAGTGATAAGCTGGAGGCTCACACCTATAATCCTAGCTACTCAGGAGGTGAGATCGGAGGATCGTGATTCAAAGCCAGCCTGGGCAGAAAAGCCACGGTGAGACTCTGATCTCCAATTAACTACCAGAAAACTGGAAGTGGTGCTGTGGCTCAAAGTGGTAGAGTGTTAGCCTTGAGCAAAAAGAGCTCAGGGACAGCGTCCAGCCCCCAAGTTCAAGCCCTACAACTAACCCCCCCAAAATTCAATCAAGGAAGGATGAATACTGTCATCATATTCAGTGTACAGGTGTGAAAATGGAGTTAGGTAACTTGAGGGTTGGGAGAGATGGGGAGGGGAGAGAGAATGATGGAGGTGGTGAAATCAATTAAGATACATTGCACTCCTAAGCTGACATTTTGAATAGAATCCCCTTGTACAGCTACTTAAAGATAATAAAAATATTTTTAAAGAATTCAAAGGAATATATCCATGATATTTAGGAGAGAGGGAATGTGTTGGATGGAGGGACCAAAGGTAGAATGAAGCAAGTAAGAAGGTCAACATGGGGAGGATATCCAAGCAGAAGCCATACCTTGGTCTGGAATGTACAGAACATGTGTGTTAGAAACGGATGCTCCCAGGCCAAAGACAGGACTCTCTTCTCCACCATGGTGCACTCCACATCGTCGTCCATCAAAACCACATCCTTCTTTAAGGCTTTGATTGCAAAGAATTGATTGCTTTTCTTGAACTCTGCTAGGAAGACCTAGAAGGAAGGAGAAGAAACAACTTGGTTTTAGAATTTAGATCTCCTCCTCATTTAAAAACATTTTTATTGTAAAGGTGATGTACAGAAGGGTTACAGTTACGTAAGTCAGGTAATGAGTAACTTTCTTCCCTATTCTCTCCCAGGTTTTCCCCTCCCGACTTCCCCCCTCCCAGCAAGTTGTATAGTTCATTTCCAATAGTCTAGTGGGTTTTACTGCTGAATTGGTTAACCCTTTTGTCCCACCATTTCTGTGCTTCCTTTGCCCCTCCCCAATCAGATAAACTTATATACAAGACATAGGGTACAGAAATTTAAAAAAAAGTGACAGAAGGGAATAACCCAAAGAAGGAAGAAAAGAAGAAAAAAAGAAAAAAAACCTAGAACTGAAAAAAATAGCATAAAAACCCTCTTGGAGCTCATTTTGATTAACATCATTTTATATGCTAATAGTCACATAGCTCTTGAGCCCTTGAGATTAAGAATATCCTCCTTTAAGGATGTAGCTCAGTGGCAAAGCGCTTGCCTAGCAAGTGCAACGTCCTGGGTTCAATCCCCAGTACCAAAAAAGAAAAGACAAAAAAAATACAGTTAAAAAAAAGAATATCCTCCTTTGTTCTCACTGTGTGAATATTTAGTCTGCTGTTTAATTAATCACATCCAGGTGTAATTATTTGTATTTTACTCACCACTGGGTTTCCTTAAGATTTATAGGCACATTCTAACAGATGCTAAAGGGGATGTGGCCAAAAGGGAACACTACTACATTGTTGGTGAGAAAGTAAACTTGTTCAACTACTCTGGAAAGCAGTATGGAGATTCCACAAAAGACTACACATAGAGCTTCCCTATGACCCAGCAATCCCACTCTTGGGCACCTATCCAATTGACCACAAACCAAGCCACACTAAAGCCATTAGCCCAACCATGTTCTCCTCCTTCATTAAAGATGAGACAGAGTGCTGAGAGAGATCTGTGTTGGACAGGGAAAAAGGTGCCTCTTCTCATCCCCCTCCATCCTAGACGGATGTTGGCGAGCAGTTAACCTGAGCTCCCATTTCCTTACGTGTAGGAGGAACTAGTATTGCTGTATCTCCTAACTTATAGGATTATGGTGGAAATCCAGTCAGAAGCTACGTGAGAAAGTAGTTGTGAACTCTATTAACATTACATTAAAACTATATAAAAACACCTGCCATTGGTTTCTTTAACTGACTTTTAGAGAATGACAAAGTCAAGGACAGCAAACTAGTACTGACTCACAATGTGTCTAGTTTTAAAATAATCTTGTATGGATCTGTGGCTTGATCAAGAAAATGGAGCGTAGATGAGAATTCAAGTAAATGAATGATGCTTCTAGCTCCAGGAAACATGGCATGTGTTCTTCTAGACTTAAAAGTGGATTGAGATCAGGAGTAGCCATTATGCTGAGAAACCCTATTTTTCATAGGGAGTCAAACAGGAAACACAAGTTTCATAGTGTTGTTGGTACCATGAGAAAGGGAAAAATGACAGTCCCATTTGGTCCTTCCTCTACTGTTATCTGTGTGCAGGACTCAGTTCCCAGAGGAAAGGGGCATCCTGCTGTGGACATTTAGTTGAGAAACTCTGAGTTCCAAGCCAGCCCTGGGGATATTTACTGAGGCTTGTATGAGGCTTGTATGTTTAACTGAATGTCTTTCTTATTAACCTTGTTCAAATGTAGAAATTCACATGGGAACTCAGAAAGATAAACATTTCATTAACAATTAAAAGTACGCTTTTGGTAATTGCTTCTTTCAGTAAAACATCCTAAAACCAGTCATAACTAAGAAGCTGAAAAGGCAATTTCCATCTATATAATGTGCTTTCAATTTTTGGTAACAGGTTATAATTGGACATTAATTGCTGCTAAATTATAATAAAGATGGCCTGTAAAATTGCTTATTACACTCAGATTAACACCAAATGAGCCTGTGGTGGTTCATATTATTGTGGAAATGAGCTGAAAGAATTTGTGGATGCCAGACACTGAGTGCAGGGCAGGGAGATTTTTGTGGAAAAGCAATGCTTTGGGTGTTTAAATGCAAACTTACTGGAGCACAATCTCATTGAGCTATGTTGGCTGCTTGGTAGCATTTTAGTTTATTATTCAATAAACAGGGTAAAGTTTCCTGCCAAAGTTTGATGAGCAGATGCTCAGCATGATGTTGGCTTTGGATGAGCAAATTCATGGACAGGGGTCATGTGATGGGGTCACGTGACATGAGGGTCATGTGACTGGGGGGCCATGTGACATGGGATCCCATGACAGTAGTCAAGTGACCGGGGTCACATGATAGAATATCAATATCAAACTTTAAACTCTATTACAAAGTTGTAGTTATAGAAACAAATTGATACAGGCACATGAAAGGTCTGAGGACCAATGAAATAGATTCAAAGAACCAGAAATGAACCCACAGATCTATGGCCACCTTATCTTTGATAAGAGAGCCCAAAACACAGGATGGAACGGTGCGGAAAACTGAAGTTAGATCCTCATATATCACCCTGCACCAGAATCAATTCCAAATGGATTAAAAACCTCAATGTAAGACCAGATACCCCAGACATATTAAAAGAAGGCATAGGGAAAACATTAGGGCTCCTTGGCAGAAGTTGAAACTTTCTATGTAAAGGTGCAGAAACACAACAAATCAAAGAAAAGCTGGATAAATCAAACGAAACAGTTTCTGTGTGGCAAAGGACATAACCAGCAAGATAAATAGAAAGCCCCAGAATGGGAGAAGATCTTTACTAGCTATACATCAGACAAGGGCCTCATATCGAAAATATACTTAGAGCTAAAAAAATCACCCCCCCAAAAAAACAAATTCCCATCAATAAGTGAGCTAAAGACTTAAAGAGAGACTTCTCCAAAGAAGAAATAAGAACGGCCAATAGACTCATGAAGAAAGGTTTAACATCTCTGGCCATATAAGAAATGCAGATCAAAACCACATTGAGATTCCATCTCACCCTAGTTAGAATGGCCATATCAAGAAAACTAATAATAACAGATGCTGGCAGAGATGTTGTTAAAAGGGAATGCTACTACACTGTTGCTGGGAATGTAAACTTGCTCAACCACTCTGTAAAGCAGTATGAAGGGTCCTCAAAAGACTAAACATAGAGCTCCTCTATGACCCAGCAACCCCACTCCTGGGCATTTACCCAAATGACCACAAATCAGTCTGCATTAATGCTACCAGTACAACCATGTTCATTGCAGCATTATTTACCATTGCTAAAATATGGAAATAAACCCAGATGCCCTTCAATGGACAAATGGATCAAGAAAATGTGGTATATATACACAATGGAATTCTATGCTTTCACCAGAAAGTCATTGCCCCATTCATAAAGAAATGAAAAGCTTGGAAAAAAATTATATTAAGTGAAGTAGCCAGACCCAAAGAAATATGGCTGCATGGTTTCTCTCATTTGTAATAACTAGAATATGTCTATAAATCTACAAGTTAATCCAATGGATAGTAAAAGACAAATAATTACATTTGGACACAATTCAACAGCACTCTAAGCATTAACACACTGAGAAAAATGGAGGATGTTCTTAGGAGAGGATCACAATGACTCAAAAGCCATGTGCATATGACCATTTAAAACAATGCTATGGAAATGAACTCCAGGAAATGGAAATAAGAGTTTTTTAAATTGTATTGTTTGTAGTCATTTCTTTTTTCTCCTATGGTTTGTTCCCTGTTGTCACTGTTCTTTATTTCTGTAACCTTTGTCTTGTATATATGTTTATCTGATTTGGGGAAGGGAAGGGGAATCAGAAATGGTGGGACAAAGGGTGAACCAACTCAACAGTGACTCACTAGACACTATGCTGGAAATTAACTTTATAACTTGGGGCAGGGGGAAGGTAGGTGTGGGGGAAGTGGGAGAAAATGAGTGAGTGACACTCTTCAAAAAGAAATGTACTAATTACCGTATGTAACTGTAACCCCTCTGTACATCACCCTTACAATAAAATAAATTTAAAAAACTAAAAAGAAAAAAAAAAGGTCAGGAGAAAGGCTTCAGAAGTAACCACCCTAGCAGTCATCTTGAGTTGGACCTGTGCCTTCCAGAGCTGTGTGAGACTAAATTTCTATCATTCAAGCCACTCAGTATTTTGTGGCAGTAGCCTAAACAAACCAACCCAAGCTTGAAGATAACTGGTAGACACACACACAAAAATACAGATGTTATAAAAGGATACTCCAGGCTGGAAGAAGAGGCGATAGAAGACAAAACCAAACCAACAAAATGCCTGTGTGAAACAGGAAGTAGACAAAGCATATTTCTGTGTCTTTGATGCCCAAAGATACCAAGCTCATGAGTATGCGGGGTACAGGCGTATCCTCAGCACAAGTGGTTTGGGGGACAAAGAACCCCAGGAAGCAGAGGCTGCTAAGGCCCTACAGTTCCTATGTCTCCATCAATTGTGGGTGTCCTTCGCTTCTCCCAGCATTTCAGGACCTGTTTTCTCACACCATCCAGTCCCAAGAGTTTAGTCTCACACACCCAGGGCACTGATCTTCCATCTCTGCTGTTTAGTCCATAGAATTCTACAGTATACTAACGTACCTTACCAAAACTTCCTTTCCCCAACATCTTGTGCAGGATAAAATCCTCGATTTTCAGTTTCATCTGCTGAGATGGTTTTTCGATGTTCAGTTCAGATTGTGGATGATGGCTCGTTATTTTATCTGCCCCATCCAGTGGTGACTCCCAGGAGATTCCTTGAGGCTCTGCAAATGGCAAGTTGGGGTTAAATGCCATCCCTGAAGTTACCATCAGCATCTCTTTCCCACTCCCCATTCTGAGGCTGCACCTACAATGAATGTGGTATGTCAGGCAGTGTTAAGGCCTCTCTTATTTGTGAGCCTGGCCACATTGTAACCAATGAAAGACAAGGAACTTTTTAATCCTTTCTAGAACTTTCCAGAGCCTAGGCAATTGGGAAGTTTAATCCAATCTGAAGAAGATGAAAGACTACTGATAGAACTTGAAAAAATACTTTTAATACTATCAGATCTTGGACCAACAGAAATTTTAATCCAATTTGAAGAAAAAGGATTCTAAATTGTCAGTATGGCTTAGGAGGGGTAGGGTGGGGAGGGGAGGGGGGGGGTGGGTGGATGGGTGGGGGTGGGGGGTGGGGGAGCAGGAACAGTGGTGCCAATTTCCATAAATCACTCCAGAAATGGGTGTAGGGAACACGTGAAATCCAGAAGATTGCTACAGAGAGCAACTGCATTATTCGTTAGTCTTCAATTCAAGATGCTATGCTCATCTTGTCTAAAATGCCATCTTCCTCACTGCTTGGTTCTTCTGAGATCTAATTTAAACCTTCCTTTTAGTCTTTGTATACCCATTTAGTTCTTGCCCAATGCCAGAAGCCATATAGAAAAACTTTTTATTTTTTCTGGCAGGAGATTGGAGGTATGGCTCAAGTAGTAGAGCGCTTGTCTAGTAAGCACAAGGCCCTGAAGTCAAATCTTGGTACTGATGAAAGAATGAAAGAAAAACTTTTGAAATTTTCTTCATATTACAGTATTGTTACATTATTATAATATTGTTGCATTACTTCTACATTTAAAAATTCATTCACATTCTTTCTTAACTCCAAGAGTGATATTTTACAGTGCATATTGAAACAATTCAAGTCCAAGAACCAAATTGTGGGGAAAATAGGGGTGTGATGTGTGATATATGTTTAGGGCATTGGGCCTGGCCGTTCTTTTTTTCTACCCTTAAATTTCCTTAAAAAAGTCTTTCAGGTACAGAATATGACCAACTCCTGTAATTTTCTGACCATCTCACTTTATGATAGATTCCTTTCTACAATACCATTTAATACAGACAGGAAGTAAGAGTATAACTTTCTAAGGAAGGATTTGAAGTTTTTCCTCCAGATCAATTCTTCCCACCCTCTCTCCCCCGAAAGATTTCCTAAGAATAGTCTTTGATTTCCTTTCTGAGAAATCCCTGCCTCTTGGTTAGTGGCTGAATCTGTAATCTTTAAACAGGAAAGGGCTGTCAATTGAACCAGGTGAACTGAGAGTTTAAATCCATAGAACAAAGGTTAAGGCTGATCAAAAGTAGTGATTGACATTGATTGACAGTGGACCATTTCGACAGCTACCTCTTTTTCCAGGGGTGGGGAAGTTTGGTTGCCTTGTTTCACTTCGGATGGAACATGGGAGACCAATTTCGACTGGACCTTCTCGGAAGATGAGTTCTGAATCTCTTAAGGAGCGAGCCTGGATAACAGACAGATAGTCAGATGCCTAGCCGTGTGCCATGGGTGGGACAGCTCAGTTTGCTGTTCCTGGGGACAAAAGCCATTTAAGATTCCTCAATTTAGGCCTTATGCAGTGGCTCACACTTATAATCCCAGCTACTTGGGAGGTAAAGATGGGGGGGGGATTGCAGTTTGAGGTCAGCTTGGGCAAAATCTTAGCAAGACTGTATGTCTGTAAACAAGTTTGGCTTGGTGGTGTACATGTGCAATCCCAGCTACATGGGAGGCATAGGTACAAGGATTACCAGCTGAGGTCAGCCTGGGCTAAAAGCATAATGACATCTAAAAAATGACTGGAGGTATGGCTTAATAAAGCAAGTACAAGGCTCTGAGCTCAATTCCTACTTCTCTTAAAGATTCCTCAATGCACAGCATGATTAAAGCTCATCTTTGTCCAACACCCTTTGAATTCCTTATCCCCTGAGAGTTTTGTATCCAAGGCATTAGTGGAGAATATACAACTACTTCAAACTTTTTGGGACTAATGAAATCTTTCATGTTCTTGATGTCATTCTACAACAAGTAAGAATAGGTCAGTGGAGAAATAACTTCCATAGGCCACAGCCACCCTCAAAGATGATTTGTTCTTAGAGGCAGGAGTTCAGGGAGTATGAAGGCGTAGGTAAAAGTCATCTTGGACTCAGTACTCTGAGGGAAAAATGGGAGACAAACTCATTAAGTAATTATTTCTCCCCAAGCTACTACATAGTCCTTATCAGTTATAAAATGTGTAATAAATACTGACTTTAATAAATTCACATCATTCTGCCCTTCCTCATCTCACAAACAATTTAAGAACTCTCACTCTTGTGGCTCACACCTGTAAACCTGGTTACTCAGGACGTTGAGATCTGAGAATCATGGCTCGAAGTCAGCACAGACAGGAAAGTTCTGGAGCCTCTTATCTCCAATTAACCATGAAGAAGCAGAAACTAGAATTGTTGGCTAAGTGGCAGAGTGCCAATCTTGAGTGGAAAAAGCTAAGAGAATTCAAGCCCCAGTACTGACACCAAAACCCCCCCAAACAAGCAAAAAAAAAAAAAGAGAGAAAAAAGTTTTCTTAAAGATCCACACAATACAAATGTATGGATTTAATAAGCAAACGCCTCAAAGGGGAGGGTATTGCCATGCAGATGCAAATGAAGGCTCAAAGGAGCTGCTCAAAATTACATTCCTTGACATTCTGTAAGTCTGCTACAGACCAGAGAGCAAAAGATTTGAGGTGACATAGGGAGTTTGCCAACTCAACACCTTCCCTACCTGCTGGGTGCTTTCGATCATTGCCAGCGCTTCAGCCATTAGCTTCTGGTTTATGCCACATAGATTGGCCACTTTGGTCTGGCAGCGGTGGTGGACGTTCATGCCACATGCTGAAAGGAAGAAAGGGGGCAGTGAGCAGGAGGAAAGAACCCACCGGTGCTTGGAAATGGCATTCTCTTGGGGTAGGACCAGAGCCTCTTGGCTCCGGAGGAAAGTCTATGATCAGCATGCATCTGGGTTGGGCTATGTCTCTCTGAAGGTTATAGAAAGTACTGGAATAAAGAGGGCGCTCTCTCCCTCCCCGAACTATGTGGGGCTATTCTATCTTCCAGGCTGAAGCCTCAGTTTACAGAATGGAAACTGAGAATGGATGATGATGATGATGATGATGATGATGATGATGTGTGTGTGTGTGTGTGTGTGTGTGTGTGTGTAAGGGTGAACTGGATGAAAGGAAAGGGACCTGGGGTCCATAGGCTCATCCAAGAGGGAGGTCCAGTTAATAAACTCCCTGGTTAGGACTGCTGCTATGTGGCTGTGGGGTGGGGCACAGCCTTGAACCAAGGCTGGTAGGGAAACAGTCAGGACAATCTGAGTCTCTTGTGAGTAGAACTGGGAGTATGGGTAGGTAGAGACCCCAGGAACTTTTGGTTATTCACAGGAAATTTTATTTTATTCTAGATGTATTTGAAGGGAAAAAAGTAAAATCCTTTTTTTTTTTTTGGAATCCTTTCTTTGGAACAACAACAACAAAAAACAGCATAAAATAAAGGGACATTTGAGTCTTGATACTCTTTTCCCTCCTATCTGACATCCTTGATGGTTGCCTTTGTAAACCCAGGCCCTTAAGGTAGCCACATTGACTTCTTTCCAGCTGGCTACAGGGATTCATACAGCCCCAGCACAGCTTTCTATATGCCCTTCTTATCCCCTGTGGATGCCCTGTACAGACCCTTTCCTTTGGCTACAGCTTGCTTCTCTTCTTTGGTCAATGGATGCCTTTCCAGCAGCTGTTCACAAAATGCAATGCCAGCTGGGCGCTGGTGGCCCCCACCTGTGAATCCTAGCCACTCAGGAGGCCTTGTCCATATGCTCCCCCAGTAACTATTAGAATCCTATTGAAGTGCATTTCAAGGTAATACAGAAACTGGTATTCTTAGGTTTTGTTTTTTGTTTTTGCCAGTCCTGGGGCTGGAACTCACAGCCTGGGTGCTATCCCCGAGCCTCTTTGTGCTCAAGGCTAGCACTCTATCACTTGAGCCTCAGCACCACTTCTGGCTTTTTCTGAGTTGATAAGAGTGTCACAGACTTTTCTGCCTGGGCTGGCTTTGGACCATGATCCTCAAATCTCAGCCTCTTGAGTAGCTAGGATTTATAGGCATGAGCTACTGGCACCCAGTGAAAATGGTATTTCTTGCACTTATGGGTTAATGGTTTAAATTTACATCTCTGATACAGTTATAGAAAGTAGCTATCATATGTCATATGGATCATATGCATATATGCACACATTAATTAAAACATTAAAGTATGGTATGTGCAGGGGAGAATTCTAGTGGTATAATTCCTTTGAACAACGAACTTATTGTCTAATGATCTAAATACCAGGAAGCTGGTATTTGGGGTATCAGGAAAAGTTGAGGAGAAGAGGGGCAGATGAATGAAGAGGGATGGGAGGATGCAGTCATAATATTCTATGTAAATATATGAAAATAGAGCTAGGAAAACTGAGGGTGTGGAGTGGGGTTGGGAGGGATGGAGAGAATGACTAAAGAGGTGACATTGATCAATATACCTTATACACATGAAGTTGTACACATTGTGTGTAACTTCTTCAAGATAATGAAAAATTTAAAAAGAAAGCAGCTCAGAAAAAGAGACCCATGTTTCCTTTCACTCTTGTAAGTCAAAAAAGACCTTTTTCCCCTTTCCTTTCCTTTGGAAAGGAAAAGAAAGAGTAGTGGGAATCGCTCTGGCTGTGCTAGGCAGAAGGTCCCATCTTGCACAGTGAGTAGCCACTAACGACCATTCACAGCCACCTCCTCTCCAAGGGCTTTTGAGCAAGATTCCTAGCACCAAGCCACACTCGATATAAACAGTGTCGCTCTGAGTCCTTATGGATCAGCCTAAAGGGCTAATTTCCACTTCTGTGACCTTGAGATCCTTCTTGGATGAAGTGGGGAGACAGGAATGGGTGTTCCTGTCGGTCAGTGTGAAAACGATTACATCTCATTATTCCTTTCAGAAAACCCAAAATTATGTTTGTTTGTTTGTTTTAAAATCAACATTGCAATGAACAACAACAAACACATAAAGATTTCCAGACGCTAGCTTAGAGGATTGAAATGCAACCAGTCTCTCGCTTCTACTTAATGTAACTAAATGTGATAGAATTAGGCAGAAAAGCCTGTCAAATACACCCTTTTAAAATCTTATCAGCTTTTTAGTAATTTGTGTTCTGAGATCCTAGAACAGAGAGTGTAACAGAGTAGGTGCTCCACAAATACAACTGCGACATACACATTAAATTATCTAGGTGATATTTTGACAGTTCTCACCTTTAGTTTTTTGTTTGTTTGTTTTTGGTTTTTTGTGCCGATATTGAGGCTTGAACTCATGGCCTGCGTGTTGTCTCTTAACTTTTTCACTCAAGGCTGGCGCTCTACCACTTGAGACACAGCTCCACTTCTGGCTTTTTGCTGGTTAATTGGAGATGAGAGTCTCACGGACTTTCCTGCTCAGGCTGGCTTCGAACCGCGATCCTCAGATCTCAGCCTCCTGAGTAGCTAGGATTATAAGCATGAGCCACTGGTGCCCAGCCTCACCTTTAGTTTTATCAAGCCCCTACTTCTTTGGATAATTCATCATAAAGCAAATCAAATAACATTTTCTATGTAAATAAGCATATTATTAGTCCCAGTGTATATGCATAGATATAGCCACAAAGATGCATTGCAAGCAAAATCTTTTATATATATATTCAAAATCTCTAGCAGAGTAAAGATGGTGTTTGTTTGTTTTTTTAATGATGGAGTCCAGAATTCTGCATGATCCTATGTCACACTGAATCTATTTACTAGGGTTTAGGTCTTGGATGGCCTGAGCCATGATTTTCTTACTTATTCTTGCAGTGCAAAGTGTGACACTTATCGAAGAGTGGGTAGAACAAGATCGGCATTTTACTTAGGCTGGCATTTTACTTTGCTCTTAAAATGGTAGCCAGATCTACGCTTGTCTTAGATGGACATGGTCAGGAAAGAAAGACCCTTGCTCTCATGGTAATATCACGAGTCTTTGTTACTAACCTAGGAGGTGGTAACTGGATCTCTGTGAGCTCAAATAGTCCCTTCTGATGGCTATTTTCATGGGAAATGTCACAGAGGAAAAGAGAAGACAGAGTAAAAACTAAGGGGACCCTACCTAGGAAGTTAACTTATAAGGAAACAGGCAAGAATGAGACAAAGAACAAGGGATGAAGAGAACTGGAGAAGACAAGAAGAATCAACAGATGAGGGCAGGGCAGGTGGCGATCAGCAGAGTAGAGAAGACAGGGAAAGTTTGGGGGGGGTATTAGAGGTAAGAGTGGAAATGAAAAGGGGAAGGAAAGGGAGGGGAGGAGAAAGGGGAAGGGGGGATGAAAGAAGAAAGGGAGGGGAGCTACTTGAAATAAAGAAGGTACAGGGAGAAGGGGAGAGAATGGAATGGAAAGGAAAGAATGTTAAGGGGAAAGAACGGAACAATGCATTTTTACAGATGAATGTGAAATAATGCCAAGGAATCTTCGGGGAAGTTCTAAGCTCTGCCTTAACTATTAAATAGGTGCTCAGGCCAGTGAGAAGTTGGTTGCTCTAGTTGCTGTTTGTATAGTTAGAATACTTGGACATGTTTTCCCCCCATGAACTGTTAATGATATTCTTCAGTGTATCCTTCATATCCATATTTTGTTCAGGAACAGGTATTTGGACAAAAGTAGACAAATGTTTTTGTTTTTGTTTTCTTGCTCATGAAGGGATTGTGGAGGTTGTTTCTCACCAATGACCAGTGGCCACCTTGGTAGTGATGTAGAACCTAACCCTTTCCTCCATTTGGATGTCACTCTGAACTCCACCAGGTACACAAGCAGGTAAGGAAGGAGAGACAGGGCAGTCTTTCATCTTTAGTCATGTGGCTGTAGTACTTAAGGAAAGGTAGTTCATGGCATAAAGTAGGATTGCAAAGAAAAACAGAAGGTTTATAGATTTAGTGTAGCAAATAAAATGTCTGTGTTATGGCTTCATCAACTGAGTTTGACTTTATCAACTAAGCCCTGCACCTGCTCTTTCTTTTACTCAGAAGGCAAAGGGGCTATTTGTGTGTGTGTGTGTGTGTGTGTGTGTGTGTGTGTGTGTGTGTGTGTGTGTGTGTGTGTGTACTGGGGCTTGAATTTGGAGCTTTGTTTTCTCTCTGGCCACTTGAGCCAAACCTCCACTTCCAGCATTTCATGGATTAACTGAAGATTAAACACTTTCCCTGTCTGGCTTTGAATCAAGATCTACAGATTTCAACCTCCTGAGTAGCTAAGATTCTGGGCATGAGCCATGGGCATCCAGTTTGTCTATTTTTGTGGAACTTTTTTTCCTGCTTACTCTTTAATCCCGCCATGACAGCATTCCAGTCTTTGAAGGTGAATGCCTTGGTAACAGGATTTAGAGGGAAACTGAATTGTTCTTTCAGGGTAGGGTTGAGTGGCCACCAGCAAGTAGTAGCATGAGCTCAGCTCTGCTATATTCCCAGCCCCCAAAAAAGATCAGGCAAGGGAAACCGGTTCCCAGGGATGGACTCTGGCCCCATCCTGGGCTCTATGTTAAACCATGGGCAGATACTCCAGGTTTAGAACCCACCAAGGAGAGAGCAGTTTGGGTCAGAGTGGAATGGAGTTCTGGGAAGATGAGCGAGTCAGAGCAGAAAGGCTGACTTCATTAATCCCCAAGATTGTGTTGGTAGAACCTAAGGTCATGGGGTCAAAAGTCTGACCCCAACACTGGGCTGTTCCTGCCTTCTCTGGGATGTAAAGAGAAGGGCGTTTTGGAGTGGAAAGAGAAGAGTCCCAGTGGCATACTGTGCCAGGAGGCTGGCATGCTTCATCCCAGGTTTGCCAGGCTGGTGTGGACATTGTCCCTGCTCATCACCCCCACCCCCACCCCCCACCATGCTGCTCCAGGCTGCACACAGGACTCACCATCACACTTGAGCCCCTGCCTCGCCAGGCCCCACAGCAATGTCCCACAGTGCTCACAGAACGTTGGACTCTTGTAGTTGTAGACTTTGAAGCGGTGTGGCATGTCGATCTTGAATCTCTCCTTGTGGAACTGGAAGAAAGGCAGTAGGTGTGTGACCCTGTACCCATCCCTGGCTCCCAGCTTTCTAGTATCCTCACAAACACTTGAGCATTGTGAACAGAAAGCTGTCATTTACACATGGGCAGCACGAGTGTGGAATCCATCACAGATGCTGTTGGACCGTCTAGTACCTGAAGAAGGCTGAGCGCCAGGGCCAAGGGCCCTGTCCAGGTAAGGACAAACATACCATCTGCATTTGTCCATCAACATAGCCAGGGATCATTCCAGAAAGAAGGGACAAGGGAAGGACATTGATCCAATGGGAGTTAAGAAAAACACTGCTCCCATTTAAACAAATGAAACTGCCCTTCCTGCTTTGGTAGAAAGATAGCCTTTTCTCTCTCCATCCAGAAGAGTACTTCATGGAAGATGTTCTAAATACCTCCTCTAGAGGAAGCATCTTGTCTCTGCTACATATTTGCTTTCTTCATAACATTGAAGACAATCAAGACTCAAATTGTTTTGTTTTCCCAAGTTGCAATTTCCAGGAGGATGAGAATGGTTTTGCTTTGTTTTGGGCTATACATCTTTCATAGTCGAATGCCTTCTATGCTAGGTACACAATGAATATATGTTGGATGAATAAGAAAAGGATAGAAGAAGAAAATCAAAACATTTCATAATGACTTTCTTATCTCAGTTTCCCTCTTATATGAGGTAAAAATCTAACTTGTCTTTACACTACATCTTGGCATTCATTCTGAAAGGAATATTTGCTTCTTGACATATGGATTATCTTTCTGTCAGGATCTTGTGCTAATTTACAAAATGCTTATGTCTCTTGTATTTTGTAATTGCTTTTTTTAGTCTTTTTAATGCATTTTAATTTTTATTGTAAAGGTGATGTACAGATGGATTATAGTTACGTAAGTCAGATGCAGAGTACATTTCTTTTTGAACAATGTCACCCTTCCCCTGGCTCTCTCCTGTCCCCATCTACAAGTTGTACAGTTCATTTTCACCATAGTGTCTAGTGCTCTTAAACAGTCATCTCTAGCTGTAGATCCTACAAGGTGTATTTGTTTATAACCAACTATCTAAGTAGGTTTTCTGGAAAAAGTCATGTTGGTTTTATTACCTCCTTCCCCACCCCTCCCCCACCTCGGCTCTGGAAAGTACACCTTTTTCTCTTGGAAATTAAAATTCATATTTGTATTTTTTATTTATTTCCTAGTTTTGATAATTCAATCAATATCATTACTGAAAAGAGTTCTTAGATTGACATTCATTGATAAGGCTACAGGTTTAAGTGTAGGCATTATTAAAATCATGAACTATAAAATTAAATGTCAAGATTAAACCAGGTATAGGATAAAGAGAAGAATGTGGTTAGGTACGTACCATAGTTTCTCGGCTATTGATAGCTGATCCTGTGCACTTCGCTATCACTTTATCGATGCACTTCTTGTGAATTGCTGCATTGCATTCTGAAAAGGGACAATGGCAACTTAAGATCTGCAGGAATGAAGGAGCAGCTGAATGGGAAGCAGAATGGCAATACAAGAGAAGTCCGTTTTACTTACGTCGACACTGGTAGCCCTGTTTGTTCAGACCCCTGTAACAGAGTGCAGAGCACAGACATGATTTATTTGGTTGGTCAGGTGAACATCAGGACAAAAACATTTTAGACTGAGGGTAGGTATGGGAAGAGGGAAAATGAGGGAGAAAGATGGAAGGGGTGACATCCATTAAGATGTATGGTACTTACAGCCTGATTCGTGGAATTGGAACCTCTTTGTGCAATTACTTAAAAATCTCTCTCCTCCTCCCCTTCTCTCCCCCCGCCCCGTTTTAGAGATAAGCAAGATCTCATGGCTTCCTAAAGCCAACACGTTTTCTCTGATTAATTTGATGATAGCACTCCCATACATTATCTGCCCAGAGTAGTTTCTAAGTTTTAAGTTGCTTTTGTGAAAAGTGTGACAATAAACAAGGAGATGTTGACTTCCCTCTCATTCTTATATTTTGTAAGCAGGTATGGGATCAATGCTTGACCAAAATGCACCAGAGGCTCTTAGCAGTCAATTTCCAGGTCCTAAATTTAAAACCCAAATCATCATCTCACTTGAAAATGCATCACTAACAAAGGAGGAGGTAATAATGCTCGATAGGAAATGTACTTATGACTTTACTCATGTAACGGTAACCCTTCTGTACACTATTTTTACAATAAAAAGTATTAATAATAAAAGAAAATGCATCACTTCTCACATACCCTTTGCTAATGTATAGACAATGATGTGTGTAACACATTTTGTTTCCTCTGTCTGTCTGAGAACATTTGCAACCAACAAAGCTCAGTGTGAAGCAGATTCCAGACCAACAGTCATATGAAAAATGAAAGCAGTTCAAGTGATTAGGTTAATGAAAAACCACCCAAATCTATGTGACCCACAGATTTGCTGGTAAATTAGGACTTGTACATGAACTGATTCTGGTGCCCAGGGAGAAAAGCATCTCCTGGCAGGCACAGATGCTGAGACCAGAAACTGGAGTGAATTCAATCTCCAGTCTCCCATCACCTTGGTTATGTGGTTACTGATGCTTCGGCTGATCTCTGAGGGGGAGACACCCTAGGGTCTCATTGAAATTACTCATTCCAATGGGAAAGTGCCATCTGTTGCAAACAGTGCAGTGGGGATGGTGAGGCGGAGGAAGTTTTGACTGTAAAATCGTAGAAGCATGGTTAACAGGAGGTACTGCCTCTTTGGCTTCTTTCCTCTCATCCCTAGCAGCCTCTCATTTAGTCAGAAATTAAAAATCCTTTGGATTTTGTTATGGTTGGGATCTGAAATGTCCTCCAAAGGCTGGGTTCTGAATTGTGGTGTCATTAGAATGGACGTCACTGAGAAAGTGATTTTGAAGGGGATATCAGTCTCTCCTTGTATCCCTCTCTCCATTTACTTTTCCTTCTCCATCTCCGTCTCCCTCTCCCCTTTTCTCTCTCCCTCTTTGCTTCCTGTCCACCATGAGATGGGCAGTTCTTCTTGGTCCTGAATTCCTTGCCATGATATTCTGCCTTGCCATAGGTAGAACAAAACAGCAAGATAAAGCAGTGATAGACTAAAATCTCTTTGTGAGCCAATGTAAACCTTCCCATTGAGTGTCCCAGGTTCTTTGCCACAGTGAATGTAAACTAAGACAGACCTTTAGCCTGAGTGGAGTTGGATCCACAAGAGCCACTTTAAGTCACACCCCTCAGATGTTGGCAGTCCCTGTACGGTTGTTGTTTCCCAGCATGCCACACTTGGTAGATTAAGACAAAATGGGAAAAAATACCCAACCCAGAGCTTGTAGCAGAACACTGCAGTTAATCATACCAGACAAACTCATGGCAGACAGAGCAAAATGTGGGTTGTGGGAAAAAGGTGGCGGTGAACTCGTGACACTTGACGTGGTGGACTTTGGCTTGTTTGATGGCCCCTCGGCGGTGGTGCAGTGAGAAGAAGCCTTCGGTCTCAAATTCACTCATGTCCTTTGGGTCTGCAGGGTGAAAACACAGCAAAGTGAAGCTCTGGGATGTGACAAGCTCAGCTCAAGAGGGAAGGGTGAGAGCTGGGTGAGGAATAGAAGTGGACAGAAGTGAATCCAAAGAGTTTTGGATCACTTACTCTGGCATTTTTTTTTGGCGGGGCGGGGGGGGGGAGGGTAACTATAAAACTAGCACTGAGCACTAGTGAAATTGCCAGGACTTAGCCTTGTGGGTAAGATGCTAGGTTTCTTTCCTTGATTCTACAGTATGGAATTATTTTAGGGTCTGTTATCAGAGGATTGAAATGAGGTTGAATTGCTGCTTCCATCCTTCCATTCCTCTTTGATTGAGTGGTCTTTCTGCTTTTAAAACCGGAAATCAGAACTTTTTTCGGTTTAGCTGGAATTAGGAAGAATACTGCTGTGATTGACAGCAAATTGGGTACAGACTTAATCTGTTTAGACAGATTGAATTGTGCTATGTGTGTAAGCAAAAGAATTCAGGAATTTGCTCTGTTCTGGTCAGTGTGGAAAGGTCCAATAAATTAAGAGATCACTAGACTTGGAAAGAAGTATGTACGTTATCTTGTGTATTACCTAGTCATCTATATCAGTTCATCAAACTCACATGGACTCCATCTACCTTGAGCTCATGGATGTTGGTGATGGTACTTTGGATACTTAGTGTTTACAGTGACCTATCCCCAGATTAGTTTTCCCGAAAAGTCCAAAGAATTCTAAGATGGTAGAGTTCTGAGAATGACCAGCTAACACATAGGACCCCAAAGAGCAAAAAATGGCAAGGTAATCATGGTTAAAGAGTCTGATCAGGTAAGTGGGTATAGCATAATAAACAGTAAAGAAAAAAAAAACTCCCACAAACCCATGACCGTGCCTGAATAAAGGATTATAAATGCAATCATTGTAATGAATAGAATATTAGTTTTGTAATTTCTTAAAGATTTTTGAATCACTTACTCTTTTTTTGTATATATAACATCTAAAAGTTTAGTGAAGAATAGAAGTCTATTGTGTCTTAAAAGTAAAAAATGTTAGCTGGATGCCAGTGGCTCATGTTTGCAATCCTAGCTACTCGGGGGTTCAAAGCCAACCCAGGCAGGAAAGTCTGTGCAACTCTTATCTTCAATTAACAATCACAAAACAGGAAGTGACACTGTGGCTCAAGGTGGGTAGAGTGCTAGCCTTGAGCACAAAAGCTCAGGGACATCACCAAAGCCCTGAGTTTAAGCCCCATGAATGACAAAAAAGGTATAAAATGTTAACAATATTGAAACTTTCATTATGGCTATGCCCTGGCAGAGGTCTAGCAATGCAAATACCTTTGCTAATGTGCCATATTTTCCCATTCCTGACAATGTCTGGGCTAGAAACTTACTAGACAAAAGAGAGACTGTGCAGGTGGAATTCTCTCCCATAGATACTCCGCCCAGTTTCAAGATACAGTTTAGACCTGACATCTTCTCTATACTGGCTCACAGGTTTGTTCTATGGTAATCACAAACTCCAAGATAGAGGGAATTCCTAATAATTCTCTAGACAGTTCTGTAGATATGCTGTCATTTTTTGTCTAGTACTTTAAAGCTATGTAAGTCAGGTTATTGTAGTTGGACCTAGGCAGAAATAAGCTGGCTTTGGTAGATGAGGGGTTAAATGAAGGTCATAAAGCCTCCTATCAGTTTTGGCAGATCTGTTTTCAATTTGTGATTGTTACAGTATGTCACTTCCTAGTAAGATCTGACTCATTTTTGGTTTGATCAAGACACAATGAAATGAAATAAGGTATAAATATATGACTGTAAATTCTACATAGTGTGTTTGTATATATTAGACTACTATAAAATTTAAAAATGTTAAGAAGGTTTAGAAATGAATTTGTTTCCTTGCTTGCTTTTTCCTCTGATTTTTTAAAGTCTCTAACCATTTTAATCATCATAAGAGAGTAAATACATAAGAACACAAATTAAAAAATTTTGGTATTGTATTTCTGAAATAATTTGCTCTTCTATTTATTGGCTTGAATAAAGCCATTGGTTTAAAAAGATGTTTGGTTATTTACTTTGTACCAATGACTCCAAATATTACCAAAAAATCATTTAATTGAAGGGTCACCTGTTTACAGTCAGTCAAAATATAAGTGTTTCTGCAAAGCTCTGAAGTAATTGAGCATTCTGAAGAAATCTCAGATATTATTCCTAACTCTTGAGCCTCTATGGTCACCCAGGGCAAAACAGCATATTCAGGAAGAGCAGCTAAGTACAAGAGGCAGTGTATGACAGTGTAGAGTAGACTCAAGGACACAACTATTTTTCGGAAGTAGGAAAAGGACTTGCTAAAAAGAGACCAAAGAGAAGCAGCTAAAAAATTAAGGGGAAGTTGGGTACCTATGGTCTACACTTGTAATCCTAGCTACTCAGGAGGCTGTGATTGAGGATCATGGTTTGAAGCCAGCCTGGGCAGGAAAGGTCATGAGACTCTTAGCCTGAGTTCAAGCCCCTGCACTGGCACAAAAAATAAGAGGAAAAATGGAAACTATCATATCAGACAAGCCCCCAGAGAATGGGGCCCTCAGCATTGTGTGGTATCAAGGAAGAAGAAGGATCAGTAAAAGGAACTTGTATAGAAGGCCGAGATACTTAGAGGAAGCCACTTCAGAAAACTGATCTCACTGTAAACCAGACTCTTAAGATTGAAGAATTAAAACCTTAGTGAAAAAAGGGACTAATACATAGTCATTATGACTAATGCTATGTCTACAAGAAATATTGTAGGAAAAAAAAGTAAAAAGGAGGGCAGTAAGAAGGTTAAAAAAGAGAGTTTATTCAAAATAGGGGAAGAGGCCTTAATACAGCATGTCTTGGCAATGCAAAGGAAACCACAGTCAGCAGGGATACTAGATTAGAGAGGAAGTGAGTTGATGAAAGAGGGCTTCTGGGGATGAGAGGCCTGAGTTGAAGAAAGCAGGAAGATTTTCTTTGAGGGCACAGGAGCAAGGAGGGCAAGCATGTACAAAGAAACAGCTGCACTCTAAAGTGTACAGATGGAGGTTGAAGTCTCCATCAATTGTACTGAGCCAGGGTCAAATTCTAAGAAGGAGAACAATAAGAAAGATACTGTTGGGGGATGGTGAGGGAGATGGGAAGGGATGGTAAGGGGAAACAAAGGAGGAGGCAACAATGCTTGATAAGAAATGTACTCATTACCTTGCCCATGTAATTGTAACCCCTCT